TATTTTTTTGCTCTACCTTTGCATGGTGCCCTGCAGTTGGCCGTTGTAACTTTGTCCCAAGACAACCTGTAAACCGTGCATTTTTGATGTGGGAGTTAGCAGAGGAAATTATGTTTGCCTCTTGCTGGAAAGACAACATGTGAATCAGCAGGCTTCTGATGAGCTCAGTTGCCCGCAGTAATCTTGTAGTTGGAGTTTAATAGTGAACTCTCCAAGTGGACACCCACAAGGTCAAAGTTTCAGTAACAGTGCTGGTGAATTGCATTAGTGTGGCATGGATAGCCACAGGAAACAGTCTGAGAAGGTGCCTGCCTAGCTGGTGTTTGAACTATAACTGCCCTTCAAGTGACTTCTTCAAAGTTTGGTTTGTGCTGGCTTGTAATAACCTGGTTCACACAAACCCCAGTTCCTGTTTATTTTATGACCAGGCATACTCTTCAGGTGCAGTTCATCTCAGTGTCCTAGAGCTGCGTTTCAATCCTGTTGTATGTGGATTGCTTCTCGGTGGCTACTGCTCCGCGGCTACCTTGTACCTTCTGCAAGAAGTCTGGTCTTGCTTTTTCTAGAGAACTTGTGGGACCGATAGCTCTGTTGCTCTGAGAACTGCTGGAGACAAATGGTTGCTGATGTGTTTAGACTTGTTATCCAGGTAGCTCAAGTGATGTGTCAGCTGCCTCTGCGACCTTCCTGTGACTGCTGGTATGGAAGCAGTGCGTTACTGCTGGGTGCTGCCTCCAGACAGCAGAGTGAGCTGTAGGTGTTTTACTTCCTCTGGCTTGATGGATGTTGCTTGAGCATAGTGGACTTGCAAAATGCTTGTCTGATGTGGAAAGAAGCTTAAGTAGTGTATGCAAGTACTGTAATCCTGGATTTGGCTTTAGGTCAGACGACACTTAAATCCTTTATCACCTTTGATGGAAACAGTTGTCCAGTTTTGATCATAAATCTGGCTGTTTGTTCCTTATGTCTTGTATTTAAGCTTTGTTGCGTCTGTTTCTCTTGCCTCTCCTAACAGAAACTAAAAATGCAGAGTGGAGAGATGACAAAAGATGACAAACAGACTTCTTCTGCTCACTCCACTCCAAGCAGCACTCCCCACTCCTCTCCCAAGCATAAAACCAGGTACTTTGTTCTGGCAGATCACTGCCTCCTTTGGTTTCTTACAGGCTGCTGAGGTGGCAGCTGCTATGAATAACGTTCTTACCCAGTGAGGAGCAGACTAAGGGGTGAAATTCAGAGCCTGCTGTGAATTTATGTTGTTGAGATCCAAATGTTGAAAGCTTGTAGAATTTGGGCTTACATATCTTCATCCTGGGTGGTAACAAATCTATTAAGATTGTTAAAATTGCCATGATAGCTACAGGTAAAGCTCCTGGCACACAGAGGCCACTTGAAGTATCTATTCTTGTGTTTTACACATTTTAATGATTTTTTTCCCTAGGGGTTGGTTTAGTCAGGGATCCTCTACTTCTATCACTGGCCCAGACTTTGCCATGGAAGCTGGTGGGGACAAATTGCCATCTGAAAGATGGAGCTTTTTTGGACCCAAAGCCGTCCAGAAATCCACCAATGATCCAGGTATGTCCTCAAAAATCTCCTGCCCTGCAAGAACTATGGGAGTACTGTCACACACCAAAACTTGGTAGTTATTTCTCAAGCCTTCTCCTGCTTGCCTTGTTATTTTCTTGTACCACCTTGTGAACATGTGCTGTTCATATAATTTCTGTGCCTAAATACAAAGTAGTTGAATAAAACCTATGCCAAGGATCTGAAAGTAGCTGAGCTGCAGTGGAAGGGCAAGGTGTGAAGGTGACAGCTTTTTGCTCTGCTGTTTGGTGGAACCAGAGCTGGAAGTGCCAGCCACTATGTGTGGAGAAGGCTTCAGATGATGTGGGGCTCCTGGGTCTTACGTTGTCTTTCTGTGGTGTCGAGCATCAGTGACACTGCTCAGTCCTGGCAGCAGTGGAAAAAAGACTTTGCTGATTTTCCTAGCTCTTACTTGCTTAGATTTTTATTTTTCTTTGTCAGCAGGATTTACCATCCAATCCTATAAGGGTGCCCAGAAACCATCCCCAATGGAGCTGATGCGTGCTCAGGCCACTAGGATGCCAGAGGATCCCGTCACCTTTAAGCCACCTAAAATGGACATTCCAGTCACAGAAGGGAGGAAACAATCTCCACGTTCCCATAACATCAAACCTCGGGATCTGAACGTGCTCACTCCCACTGGGTTCTAGGAAGAAGAATTCTTCTGGTGTCTTTAGTGGGCTCCAGGGTTTCATAGGCTCTGCTTCCCTGGCCCATTGTGCTGCAGTAAAGTAGGAAAGTCTCCCTTCCAGCTCTTAATCTCAGAAAAGGAAACAGTTGTGACTGTTCTCCTAAAGCCAGTTTTGAAAGAACTGCACTAGTACTAAACCAATGTAAACTATCCTGTCTGCTGCACTGCAGCAGTTTGGTCTGCTAGGCTGCACTCGATGTGCTTCCCGGTACCCTGCACCTCAGTAAAACCTTGAACTGTGTGTTGTGGGACAGGACTGCATGTGGTGTGCAAGCAGGCTGGCTTCTCTACCTGTAGTCTGATTGTCTTGTCCTGCTCAGTGCTGAAGTACCCTCAGGAGGATGGTGGTTCTGTCTGATATAGAATGCCAGCAGAAAATGATGAAAAGAAGCAAGGACTGAAAACTGGACCATTAATTTCCAGAAGGAAGTTGCTCTAGGAATGTAGTGCATTGGTTTTAAATGTGGCACTCCCTTGCTATCCAGTGTGACCTTAGTTCAAGATCTAGTACTTCTTTGTCCTTGGAATTTTCTTAAAGGAGAAGTGGAGCGGTGACTGTTCTAAGATGTTCTTATTAGCAAGGCAGGGAGCAGAATCTAATGGGGCTTGGCAGTAATGAGGAAGAATTGCTTCCCTTCCAACTCTTCATGTTTTTTCCAGAAAGGTGGAAATGACCAGAGCTGGTGTGGCTTGAACCAGGTAATCTTTCTGCAAAACAACACTGTCCTGCCTTCTGGACAACAAGACTTCCAGATGTTCTGGCACTCTGGGTGCTGCTTAATTTTTTTGTTTGTTTGTTTTGTTTTCTAGCCTCTTGTATGAATTGTGTAGAAGTGTACCAGACACCAGGGGCACTTCTCAGATAAGGTCTTTTGTTTCATTTGCATTGGATGTATTTTGCAGGGCTGGAGGCAGATCAAGGCTAAATGTTCCTCCCTGCTGTGATACAGCTGTAGGTAATTTTTGACCAGGAACTGGAAGCAGCTAATGCTTGCTCTCATGAAAAGTGAAAGGAGCTTCTGGCTACTATCTAATCCTTATGCATTATAGGCAGTGTTGCTCTCTAATATTCACCTGTGACAAACAGGTCTTGTCTCTCTTGATCTCGTGATTAAGTGTTGCAGAGTTCCCTCAGCCAGCAGCAGGCTTTTTGTGGTGATGAGGTGGCACCAGCAGCCTCACATCTGGTACTGGAAGCTTCTCTGTTGCCAGGACATTCTACAGAGGTTACTTAACAGCTGGTCACTATTGATCTTGGATTTCTGCCTTCTTAAACCAAACATTCCTCCCAGGGGGTGAGGCAGGGTTGGCTCACTTGGCTAGCTGCTGTCCCCTCTGAAGCAGCATGTTTTGTGACTGCGTCATCTCAAGCTTCAACAGCACTGCCAATGATGTGTTGTGTCAAGAGTCTCCCACCCAACCACGCAGTTTTCACTGTCATCGCTCATTTGCACCTTGGCAATCAGTCTCTCATTTGACATTAATTTATTTGTTGTCCGTATTCATGTCTCTAATATGTATGATTTGTTTGTTACAAGAAAATAAAATCCTTGTCAATGGAGGTCCTTGGTGTGTGTTAGCACTGGTGAAGCACCTGTGGAAGGAGTGGTCTGTCCAGTGAGTGTGGGTTCAAGGTTCTGTCTAGTAGGGCTCTGGCATCACTTGCACTAGGCTAAAGTGTTTGCTCTGCAAAACTACCTTATGACAGGGAGATGAGGTTTAAAGCCAGGCGTGATCCTATCTTAGGGCTTATGTAGATGGCAGTAAAAATGAAATATTTTTTTTTTCTTGAGTTATTCAAATGGTGACTCTTCATGTTACTGAGATTGCTTGTCTTGAGGCTTGTGTGTTTGCACCTGTACTGTGGAGATGGGCACAGCTGTGGGAGCCAGGCTGGTATTTGTTAGAGGCCCCCACCCTGCAGTGGTGCGGCCATCTCTGCTTTGCCTTCCTCTGAATGGTGCTGGTTTGAGTGCTGTTGTAGCATTTGTAGCTGCCGAAGTACAGCTGATGGAGCACACAGTTACCCTGGGGACATCTGAGCTGAATGCAGGTGTTTGCTGTGCTCCTGGAGTCTCAGCAGAACTACAAGTGGTGAAATAGGTCCTGAAGCACCCAGGTACTCTGGTACAGGCTGCTACTGCAGGTCTTGGTTACACAGGCAAATCTCAGTTTTCTTTGGAAGGGCTGGGGTTAAAGTGTGGGCTCATGGTGTGATATTCTACTTTCTGTATTTCACTCCAAGACAATTTTAGGGGATATAACCAACATTTCAGAAAAAACATCCATAATTATGGACCTCTTTCTGGAATGTGGTTTCATTTCTAGTCCAATGATAGAAGTCTAATCCAGATAAAAGGACCTAACTGGAAAATATACTTGAATCAGCACAGAATCATTGAACTGCTTATGTTGGAAAAGACATTTAAGATCGAGCTCAACTGTTAATCTAGCACTGCCAGGTCCACCACTAAATACCATGCAGGAAGAGCAGCTTCCTAGAGCAGGGAGCACATGGAGTTTGCGCTGTTGGGAGTGGTTCTGGACACTACTCCCAGAACAGGCTTCTTCGCTTTTCTCTGGATAACTTATCCCTGGGTTAGAGGGGCAGTGTTGTGCAGGTGGGTGGTTTGTTCTACATCTGGCAATTAGGAAGTCACTTCCTAAAGAACAAGGAGCAATCCTTGGAGCCCCAGGGCTATGTTAGTCTAATGCTATCTCAGTGTACAAGTGATGGAGCTCTCCAATTCATCTGAGTAAGGCTGGCACCATGATGAAAGAGTTCCAGCAAATACGAAAATAATTTATTTATTTTTTAAAGTGTACAAAGTGCCTTGTAAAACTGTAGGATGAGGCAAGTTTGAAACGAAATTTTGAGACTGTGTAAACCAGGCATTTTTCCAGAAAAATGAATGAACAAACCCACATGACGTGTGACATTTGAGACTGCAGCACGAGATGCAGGTTTTTGTAGAGGAAACACAAAGCTTATTGTGTCCCGTGCTGCAGTGCGTGTCTCCATCAGGTAGCAGTGACAATGAGGAACAAGTCCCGAAACATGCACAATTTCTCCTTGATCTGCTGGGGAAAAGGCTGCCCCAGAACCTGCTGCATTCGGCTCATGAAATCCTCGATCTTCAGCTGGATGTCCCGGTGGCTGACGTCATCGCTGTCCTGAAGCTTGGGCTTGGCTTTCTGAATGATCAAGTCCATCCTGTCGCTGAGTGAGCTCCGTAAGTGCTCTGCAAGAGGAAATGCTGGTGGCGAGAGGCAGCACACAGTGGGTGCCCGACTTGTTCAGGGCCAGAAGGCAGCATGCCGCAGGCAGCGCTGCAGTGAGGAGCAGTGGGGATCTGTGCCAACCCTCTCCCAGTTATCCTTGGTGCTTTGCCACAAGGCTCTCCTGGTGGGAGAAGGAACTGTACCCTCCAAGAGCTCAGTCTGCACGTGGAGGGAGCCCTAGAAATGGGGAGGGAAGGGGCAGGGCTTGTAGCATCCTTTTCTGACGTGCTAGTGGCAGGCTGAACAGCTGTCCAGCTGCAAAGGAGTCTCTAGGGCTTCAGGGAGAATAGTAGTCTACATGCAGGTGATGGTGGGTTCCTCTACATTCCTCCATGAAAGCAACCCTGGGCTAAAGCAGCTGAAGTTGGGAAGAGACTTTAGGAATTTTCTGGTAAAATGGCTTTAGAGAGGTTTGGGAAGTGGTTTGTGACTGTGCTGCTCCCTTGGAATCACAAATACTGCTCCTTCTGCGGCTACCAGGGGTGGTCCTCCCTGCCCAGTCTACCAAGTGCTGAGTGTGTCCTGCCTTTACCATCCCTTTGACTTCTACTTTTCCTCCTAAACCACCTTATTCTTCCACCCTCTTTGTGTGCAACTTAGACAAGTTGTACTGTTGTGTACTTCCTCGTGCTGGGATTGATCCCTTAGGAAGCAGACTATTTATTTCTTAGGAGCTAATTTTGTTAAAGCAAGCCAGGTGCTCTGCTTGATGCAACATCATTCCTTTGCTCTGGCTGCTGGGAATAGTTACTAGCATGAGCAGAGGCACATTATCTTTCTGAGACTCAGACAAGAGTCATGAGAAGGGAGGAAGAAGGATATTTTGGCTGTTCTACTGCAGCTTTTTAATGAGATTGTGTTGTTTAAGTCCAGAACAGGCTGCTTACCTAGTACTACATTTTGGTAACTCAGCAGCAACAAATTCAGGTACTGCAGCATCTCATCCCATCTCTGCCATACTGCTGTTTCATCCTGTGACAGGAGACAGTGTTTAGTTATTAGAAGCGGTTTTCTCAGGAGAGAAAAAAGCAAAAAAGCGGTTGGATTGGATACCTGGTATTGCAGGAGCACAGAGGAGTGGCTCAGGAAGTACAGGATCTTGGCTAGAGACAAGGGCAAGGTTGTGGGCACATCGCAACTATGCTGGAACAACAGCTCTAGCAGTTTGCAGCGGAGGAGCTGGCTCTCCATGGTGTTTAAGAAAGCTTCCCTGGAGGACAAAAAAGGATTTACTTTGGGGGAGACAGCACAGTCTGACCAGGGACAACTGCTGAAGCATGTTCTTGGTGTCCTGCTGGTGCTGATCTCGTGCAGATGTGGGGTAACTGCAGGGGCTGCCCAGCAGAGCAGTGGAAGGAAAACCTTCAGATGTGACAGAGACCTTGGTTATGCAGCCTGGTATTGGATGTGTTTACATCCTTAAGTCTGACCTGTGGCAACTCAAGATCAGTACGGTCTGTGAAGCAAGCTTAGCTGCTTCACTTCACCCTGTCCAGCAGCCGGTGCAGAAGTTACCCATTC